CTTGGGGCTGGGTGGTCGTTAAGGTCCCTTCCAACCCAAGCCGTTCTGCGATTCTGCGCCCTGGAGCAGCAGATTTTGGAAGCCCAGCGAGGCTTAGGGGTTTGTGTTGCCTACAGCTCAGGGGCCAGTGTGTTTCTCCCAGCACTGCTGCGGCAGTCGGATTTGATTTTTTGTAAAACCTGACGTAGCAGTCGCAAGGCAAGTGCACCATGGGCTGGACAGCCCGTGGGAGGATGCTGCTCCTCTCTGCTTTTGTATGTCAACAGAAGCCCCCGTTCCTGTTCTCTTTGCTGCTGTGCGGCGATGGCAGGCTTGCTGCCCAAACCCCAGAGGCATCACAGAATGCAAGAGAGGAGAGCACCCACAGGTTACTTCTTTCTTTATAAGTTAGTTTATCTGAGGTAAAGAAGAGCGTTGATACAGCCTTTCAAATCCAGCAGTCGTTTACTTGCTGTGTCAGCAATCTGTCTGAAAGAAAAGGCATGCTCCATCACCTGCATTTCAAAGGTCACAGTGCTACTGTTCCAGGCTCCTGAAAATCACGGTTCGAGCCAGCATCATGGCTGGTTTGAAGATTTGGACTGTTTTGTTGGTTATACTGCAGCATTTTTGTCAAAGATGTATCCCAGGTGGAATTTCAACACATGTTGAAATAGGTAAGACGTGTTCAGACTGAATGTTTGTGTCTTTTGAGTTGCTTGGGAAGAGAAGTAAATTCAGATTTGGCTGGAAAGCAAAGGGAGGAGATAAAGTAACATGCCTTCTACATAATTTTAAAAAAAAATGAGTAACACACAGGGTAGATGAGTAGTTTGTTTTAGGAGTTTGAAACTGCTGGTTTTATGAGCAAAACACTAGAATCAATTTGGTTGTGTATTTTTCCATCTTCTAAAACAGGCGTTATGTAACTGGAATGTTTGTGTCTGAGAGTCTTACGCAGACAGGATTTACTTTGGAGAAAGAAGAGGCATACTTTATGCTGGTTTTAAGATTGTTATATTTAAACTAGAGCATAACACAGATCATTTGTGGTAGCTCTATTCTCAAATTACTGTGTATTAATTTTGCAATACCTGCCTGAGACAGACAAAATGCTGCAATGTGTTTGTAATGATGACTAACATAATGAAAATTTTGTTCTGTTTTCTACTGGTAAGTTGCTATCTGTAGCCTGAACAGCCTAGATTTGTAGAGAATGAAGGAGGGAACTGAGTGAACATAAAATTGGCAAAATATTTGTTTTGAATGTCATGTTTGCAGGCGTTATTTTCAAAATCTGATTTCTGCTGTAGTTGTTGCAAAAACACTCCTGAGTCCTGTGAGGTTATTCTGAGATGTTTACTCGTAGTAAAATGTTGGGTTTAATTGGTTGTTCTTCCATTTCTGATTCCAAGTCTGTTGCTTAAACACGTGGTAAAAGGTATTATGTTGTCTCTACCAGGTAATCTGCTCAGGCTTTAAGTATTGAATACATGCAACTTGGAACATGTTTAAGTTTATTCAAGTTTAAGTTTATTCATGACATTGATTTGAGACTGAGAGTACATTCTCTCACTGAGCGTTGTGCCCTTGCCCAGCCTTCTGCAATCATTTGCTTTTCTTGACGACACGTCAGGAAACCCATAGGAATTGGTCGGAGAAGTCACACTGCCTCAGGCCAGGCAAGCTTGGGGCTCTAATTACTGAGTGTTAGTTTTCAGTTTTCAGAAGCTCACAGATTTATCAGAGTAGAATGCATTGACAAGAAACCTTTGGAACAGCAGCTTACGGGTCTGTCCCAGAGTAAATTTTTTTCCTACTCAAGGAAGCACATTGAGGAAAACCTGCATTTGTATAATTTAAAGATCTTGGTTGTCTGAGGAGTAGTGTGTATGCTGAGCTATTGGGTGATGGTTTACAACAAAGTTTGCCTGTTTGTCTGAAAATGACGTTAAACTGGGATCAGTTCCGAAGCTGCTGAAATCCGTGCTTTTATTAGTGCGCAGAAAAAAGTCCGTGATGATAAGATACTGAAAATTATTGCCAAATCTGAACACTGAGTATTCCGGGAACAAAAAAATTCAAACTGCAGAAAGGAACTCCTCGGACTCAAAACCAGCACTGAAGTCTCTCCTGGGTAGGCTCCTGAAAGTACTTTTTAAAAGAAGAGTGAAAAGCTCTGCCTGTTCAAAATGTTGGTCATGTTCTGGGTGCTCGGCAGAGCTTGGCCGTGTCCTGCTTGCCACCAGCTTGTGATGGAGGTCGATCTGAGCAGGGAGGTTCTTCTGCCAGGAGCTGCCTGCAGACCCTCAGGGCTCAGGGAATCCATCACAAAATTTATCATAAAGGTGAACTTGTAGGACCTGGGCCTGCGTGAGCCATGGGAGAGGGAAGGGGGAGTGCAAGACAGGAAAAGCGAACTGCCGAGCTGAGACATTCTCACACTGCGTAGAGAGAGGGAATGTGTGTTGGAACGGCTGAGCCTTAAAATGATGGACGTAGTGTTTTGAAGTTATTCCTATTTTGGTGCAAAGTTGGCCCATAATATATCTTAATGTATTTGTATAAGGGTAGTTTAGATGAGTAGGTAAAACTCCAAGTGAAAGACCATTCAAACCCACACAGTTTTTCTCTAGATGTTATTCCAAAATGAGAGTGAGTTGGGGTTTTTGTTTTGGTTTGGGTTTTTTTTATATAGTTTATTTGGTAAGGATCAAATTCAAAATATTCTGGGTTATCTTGATCACTCTTAGTTTGTAAATAGCTTCAAGTGAAAACTCTGTGTAGGAAGCCAAGGCCATCACCTGCGCATGGATCTTCAACCGAATAATTTCAGAGGCAATGCTGAGTGTTTTTAGAGTAGCAGATTATCCCTGGGAACCAGCATTAGTAAGGAGATTTCATTAAAGAAAAGTGATGTCAGTTTGTTTCATTTTGTCCTTATGCTTGCTCAGTAACTATTTTGGCAGTAAGAATGTCTGCTTATTCAGTGAATAAATAGCAATATTTACCTTGCTGGCTTTAGATTTTTGTTGTTTTCCATACATGTATAAAATCAGACGTGACAATGCGGAGTATTCTGGTCTTGATAATGGTTCTAACAGAACACAAGCCTGGCCATGGCATCTATGAATCAATGCTTCACTGTCTTGTTTTTCAGCACATAGAGCTCTGGAATTTTTCATAAAGCGTGAAGGAAATGTTAATTACAGAGAGGTAGGAAGTACATTATTACTGCTTGATTGTGTACATGTTTCTTCTGAATGTTTTTGTGTCTTCTTGCCTTTTTTTTCTTTATTATTTATTCTCAGTACTATATGTGTAAATATTGTGCCTGGAGTGTATTTCTACCTTTTTTTAAACCTTTTGACTCCTGAATTCTGTTAGAAATATGTAGCAATTATAATGCATATACTGGATATGGTTTCTTGCATGTTTTCCCGTCTTCTCAAGTCGTACCCTCCATGAGTAGTTCTATTAAAAGAATCAGTAGAGGACTTTTGGAAAGGAGATTTGATAAACATAAGGGCAGCGACGTTCTGAGTTTAGTCCACTGCATGTATCATTTAGCTGGTTTCTGATTCATGCAAATAGCTTTTTCTTTCATAGACTGTATCCAGCAGAGTACTGTAAGCATCTGGGCAGCTTTCATAAACACATAAACAAAACACGTCTTTTGTGTTTAACAGATTTTTGATATCCTTTAGGACAATGTAAATAAGACCATCTTATATAATTTGGTCTTTTATCGAAGCAGGACATCACTAAGGGGAAGTCTTCCTGTTGTCTGCGGCAGACAACCGTGCTGCAATCTGGAGGATAAAGTTAGTGACTCAGGCTTCGTGCCTGGTCCAGGAGAAGGAGGAGGGCACTTTCGGAAGGTCACTGCACCAGCACCTCAGTTAGATCGTACGAACCCTTTCCTAAGTGGCCTTTTACATCGCAGCAGTAGTAGCTCATTAGTTTTGCTTCCAAGGGTTTGGCCCCAGGGAGGGAGCATGATGAGGGATGCTGACGACACTGAAGTAAGGTGTTTTACCAAGATAATAGTTGTATCTGGCTGGATATTTGAATTTTATCTTCAATTTTGACAGTAAACTGTGGGTTTGTGCTGTGCAGTAGCATTCTGATTCTTTTTTCCCCCATCCTTTTCCCAGTTATTACTAAGCCACCAAGATGCATTTCAGGCTGGGAGCATTTATCCTGATGCCTTTTATTCTCCAATCTGCAAGCGTGGTAAGAAAAGCTTTATTAATCCAGTACTGTAACAACAGTAGTTCTGTGTGAAAATCCAGTAAAATTTAGGGAGGTTGAAAATATTCTGTAGTAAGAAATGAAATATGGCCAAAAATATCTTTGTGCAAACCATCCACCACTTTTTGTAATAATTTGAGCCTTTTTGTAGAACTTTATGAGAAAATAATACATTTGAAAATGTTTTTAGAAAGTGACTTTTGGGTAAAGTTAACTATTTAATGTGTAAGGACAATTTGGTAGAAGGATGCTGTTTGGCTAAATTAGGTCAGATTGCTGTGTGCTGTCTTGGGGAGAAATTGAGAGAACGAAAAGATTTTTAAGTCTTAGGGAAAGCCTAAAGCTAATTTCTATATATATACAATTAGATGCATTCCTTCAGTCACCAGCTTCTCTGTCAGGTCTCTCCATGCTCTCCCCACGGAAGGCAGTTTGTCATTGTACTATACCTGCTCACAGGCACAGAGAAAAGGGAGCAGGCACAAAATATTCAGACGTTTCAACCCAAAATCTTAGAAGGTAAATGTAGTGTCTCTTTTGAGAGCATAAATTGTGTAAAAATATGTCTCATTTGGCTCTTTTCATATTGCAAAATATATCGTCTGTATGACATGAAATTGAACAAAAGTCTTTGGGTTTTTTTCATGGAGAAAACCTTTTCTTTTTCACTTTTTCTTCCCCTTCCCCATCTCCCCCAAGAATGAATCAAATGCTGATATAATTTTATTGCAATAGGAATGTTCCATGATGTGTCTGAAGACACTCACTGGTCACCGTTTCTCAGTGCAAGTGTTCGCTACATCAGAAGGAATTATCCTCAGCCTTGGGAAGTGGTAAGAAAATTTCATTAACTTTTGACTTTGCTTTCTACTGCTTTGACTTCCTGTTTCTACAGAGTGGGCAACACTTTGTCGTGCTAACTTCTTGGATTTTAAGAGTTTCCCACCTATATCCTTTGCTTATGTAAAATGCTCACCTCTTCTTTAAGACAGGAGTAAAATTATTGATGTTACCCAAAGTGGATTGTTGTTGCACAGGCCACAGAGAAGCTGGTGGCTTTCCTGTTTGGAATTGCCTCGCACATGGTGGCAGATGTTAGTTGGCACAGCCTGGGCATCGACCAAGGATTTCTCAAGGCCATGGGAGAAGTAAGCCTGTGTTATTTTATCTGTTGATAGAACTGAATTTACTGGAATTGGTAGTGTAGCTTTTGGAGGGATGTAATGTCACAGCTCCTTAAGAACAAAGTCAGTCAGGTCTGGGAGCTGTAAATTTCAGGGCTGCTTCAACAGCTTGTTTCTGCTCATATAGGGAAGGATGAGTGAAATAAAGGAACAGTTCTTTTGTTTTTCTCTTCCTCCAGATTGATTTTCGTGGTTCATACTCAGAAGCTCACAGCACAGGCGATTTCGGTAACGTTTCTGCATGCTGATTTTAGAACCTTCTGTTGAAATAACTAGTCCCCTTCCAAACCACAGTGGGTGATTCTGGCTCCTCTTCCCAGTGCAATGCAGGAGCAGGGCTGGGTCATATGGACACTGTATTCACCCGCTAGCCTGCAGAGTCCTGCTGTACCCGTCCTCATGCTCTGGGCTTCAGGACGTGTGGTAGGGCATATATATTAAAGCCAAAACACAGCCCATAGAATGCTAAAGTTCAGATGGAGTCACTACTGTGATTTTAAATTTTGTATTATTCTCTGGAGATACAATGTATGCAGCATATTTTCAGGTGAACCATTTATGTATTCTAAATATGTCACTGGAGGATCTGCCATGTAAGCGTGTTGACGCGGAAGTCACAGACACTGCTGATGATCAATGTGATCAAGCAAATGCCACTTCATTAACGCACTAATGTGGTTAATATACAGTTCCCAACGTCCTTGTTTTCTAAATGCTCTCTATGGATTGGCTCTTAACAACAAGCACACGCAGTCCATGCTCCTGTCCACGCACTGTTTTCCTTTTGCTGATTCGCTCTTCGCTGCTGATCACACTCCTGTTTCTCCCCACCTGCAGCCTGGGTTTGTTTCTGTTTTCAGTCACAGACACCAGTCACAGCTCCTTGTTTTTGTTTGCTTCAGCATATTCTCACAGCTTGTGACCTTCACAACGTCCTTCACAAACTCTTGTCAAGTGAGGCCTAAAACTTGTCTAAAAACAGGCTGCCTGGCTTGTTCAAAACATGTCCGCTGTCCTCTAAATATCCCACATAAGCGCAAGTAATAGCTGCCTATATCTTCATCCGTGAGTTGTCTGGGGTAGATATTCAATGGATTAGGTTTATTGAGGTGTGCGGGTTTTATTTTTCATTCTTCCATCCACAGGAGGAGATGTACTGAGTCAGTTTGAGCTGGACTTCAGTTATCTGGCACCAAATTGGTAAGATAATGATGTTACGTTCTTTAATAATTATTTCTGCTTTCTCTGTGTACTCCTTATCTTTTTTATTCAAAAGAAACCCTTGAGGCTATTGGAATTTTTCCAAGTTTGATTTTTCTTATATGCATCTTTACTGTTCCATGACATGAAAAACTGGAAGGACAAATTAAAAAAAAAAAAGATTTATGCTTAGGAATGCAGCAAGAAAAATTAAATTATTTGTCTCTGAACATAATTATAAGTAATTACATATGAAGTATTCATTGAAAAAGATTAGCTGGAATGTCCTATCAATTAAATAACTCAGTTAAATCTCACTTAGATTTCCATTTAAAGTTTTGGAAGTTGAGGGCATTTATGGTTATAGGTGCTCTAAAATTCAGACAGATTTTAAAAGCATAAAAAGAAGCAGTTTTAGATAAACCTTTACTTTTCTGGTGATAAAATAGATTTTTTGAGTAGTTTTGTTTCAGTAGGATGCAGTTCATCTAGGTGTAGTAGGCACAGTTCGTAACTAAAACTCGGGGACAGCCGTGGGAAGTGCCTGTTTGGCCAGGAGTAGCTTTGGCACAGTGGAGGGTTGGAGGACATCCTGCAAGATTCTGTGATCGCCCAACCAGGAACCAGTGTGGGCAGTGTGGAAACTCCACCAGCAGTAGCCATAAGGGAATGGTTCTGCAGGTTTCTGACTTTTGAACCGAAACGAGAGGAGCGTGTTGTGCGGAGAGTCCTGGTCTTTCTGCTATTTACGGTTCTTCATGACTTTCTATAGCCTTTGAAATTTAGAATATTTTAAAGCAGGCTGTTGTTATTACAGAACCTGTAATCTTCTATCAGGCAATATGCAAAATGTCTTGTTACAATACTTTGTCTTGTTTTTAGGTATGTACCTGTCAAAGACCTAGCAGCTATCTATAAGGACTTTTATGGAAGAGAGATCATAACTGAAAGCACAGTTACTGACTGTACTTACCTGCTGTTTCTTGAACTGTAAGTTGAAGAGCTTTGTCTGGGTTTTCATAAGTGAAATGATGATCCAATTTGATAATCCAGTTTGAAATGCCTTATGCATTGAGGCCGGCAACATAGACTACCCACTAGACCACAAAATCATAAAACATCTGGGTTATTTCGGTGGCTAGAATACAAATTTGAACTGCTTAATGACTGTTACATTCATTATTATGCCACAGATTCAGTGTCTTAGTTATGTAATGCATTGATGCCTGTTTATTTGAGAACAGCTGTGTCTTCAAGTACCAGTGCCTTGTGGCATGTTAGCAATACAGTTTTCATGTGCTGAAGGACTAGTGTACATACCTAAATAGACTGCTTACCTGCACTTCTTGTAGATCCTTTCAAATCAAAGAATAATTCAGAAGAGGATTTTGATATCTGTAAATCTCTGCTTTTGAATAACCTAAACAGCCTAGTTCTATCCTTTATTTTCAGTTAATTACTAATAGTCATGCAGCTTTTATGAACACTGTGAATTCCTCCAAATGAAAGGCAGCAATAAAGTTAATATCATTACTTCTGGCATTACAGCTTTTAAAAACATATTAACAACCAACAAGGAAATGTAGCAACTTGCATAGTATTTACTGTACAGAAGCTTTGAAAGGGACTTACTCTAAACACATTTATTTCTGAGGATTTTTTTTTTTCCAGGCATGGGGAAAGGCTTGCTGTTGCCAAGGTTGGTTGTCTGTTTTCATTAATAAAATTAAGATATATAGCATTAAGACAATGTAATCCATCTTACTTTAGTATGTTGCTTGTCTCTAAGCTTTTTCCAACATATGCTGGTAAATCTCCATTTCTGGTGGAGAAGTTCCACGAGTATTTCCTCGGAGGAGTGGATGACATGGCATTCTGGTCAAACAACATCTTTGAGCTGACAAGCCATATGCTAGAGAATGGAACCAGGTACAACACATCTCCCGTGGTATGAAACGCAGCAGTCAAGATCTGACACCCATTTAAATGTTCTTCTGAGAGGAGGTGCTGAGCTTTAAATCCCCACCTGGATGAAGGGATTTCGCAGTTGTTAGGTGTTCGCACACGTTTCCCCCAGGCAGGGCCCTGGCGTGCCCAGCTGACCCTCAGCAGGGCAGTTTTAGAGCAATTTTTATGGAAGTTCTAACCTTGTGCTGCCCTGTTGCAAGTGTAACCTTACTGTAAATAACTTTGTAAGACCAAGAATGATCATCCATCAAGATGGAAAATAGTACTGCATCTGTTATGTTTGAAGTACAATATGGCATGAGAATATGTTCCAGAATGGATGGCACTTTTGTTAAAAGTGTTATAGATTAGTAGAATTAGTAGGAACTCTTACGATAAGTTTCCTTTAACAGTTATATGATGACATGTGAGATTCATGTAGAACCTCATCAAGGTCGTTAAAAGACATATCAGAGGTGTTTCTAAAGATTTTAATGATGCTCTGGTTTTGAATAAGCAGAGTTTCTTGAGAAAACTGGTGACTTCTAACAGGAATCAATAAAGATAAAAGTTGTATTTTTCATTTCACTAACTCCATGGGAAAATCCTGAAATGCGTTTTGCATCTCTCTTTAGTGGCTGCTTCCTGCCTGAGAACCCTCTGTTTATAAACTGCACGGGGGCACACAGGGACAGCTTTGTGTAAGTACATCTCTGAAGGTTCAAAGATCTGCTAATGGGAGTCTTACGCTAATGCGGACAGTGAGCTACTGAAAATTAAACATCTTTTGTTTTTTCTTGTGGTGTGTGCATTTGAGATTCTCTTAACATGAATGAGTAAGCTCCATGGAGAGGAACGGTGCAAAACCTAGGAGAGACTTTTACCTTCCAAGCGTAAGGACAGGAATACTTACGTAGGGCTTCCGGTGCTGTCTTCACACTTCATTTGTTGGTGTTTTTTGTTCCACTAGTCATGAAACTGCTGATTCATGTTTACCCTTACCATAGCTAAAGTCTCACCTCATTTATGTACAGAAATACGGAACTCAGCTGTTGGGAGCGCAAGTGTGTGTATTCCTCCAGCAAACGTCTTGGGAGAAACCAGCTTACTTGGTGTCTCTGGAGAACTCCATTTATGCACAGGACAGATACTCACCAAATTGCCTGCAGGATGTTTGCTTCTCCTAGCTTTGTCATAAAATACTCAGGTCACTCTTTCAGCTATATTACTTGTTGTTACCTCCTTCTTTATTTTAGTGGACACAAGCAATCAAAACATGAACATCACAAAAATACAACTTCTTTGCTTACAAAAACGCTTGAGAAGAATATAAATTATACAGAGAGAGGAGTTCACTTCAACATACAATCCTGGGCAACAGTAAGTGAGAAGTGACAAATGTGTCAGGTAAAATTCATCTCTATATAAAAATGTTTTAATTTCTGTCTGAAATACTATGTGATGGAGGACAGTCTCTGGATGTTAATGGTAGCCTCTGCTTCACTGGATGGAGATTCCAGCACCATTATTATCTATGTATTTTCCCATACATTGTAAATATTCAATTATTACACTTTGCTTATTGTATAGTGAAGTTAGAACACATCTTGCTGTGCCAAAAATGACAAAGTTTGTCTTTATTTTTTACTCTTTAGATTTTAAACCTTAGGGAATCACATAATCACTTTTTGGGGTTAAGAAATCCCACCAAAGCACAGCAGTGAACAATTAGCAGAGCTCAGTTTAGTGCATACAGATTTTTGTCTTTTTCTAAAATGATGGTTACGACCTGAGTCGGAGTCAACTTAGCTCATTGTGGTGGTTTCTGTGGTGGCTTGGTTTTTGTGGTGCTCCACAGTGCTTTAGAGTTTTGGCCTGTATTTAAACCATTCTTATGTCTCTATTATTTTTATTTCAGAATTCCCTCCACTTAATAAACCGTGCCTTTGCGGCCAGTGTCTGGAGAGCATTAGCAGCTACACATCGCAAATCTTCTAAGCACATCACCAAACCAACAGCTTCGTATTTTCTGACTTCGCCCTACGCTAGACTTGGATGGTTGGTAGATTTTCATCTCACCTCCCTCTTAATTTCTGAAAATTTTGAGTACACACCAAAATATTAATGTTTATTCTTTGAATGCTTTTTAAAGGTGACAGTCCAATTAGTGATACAAGTCTGACTGAATGGCTTATATCATAGAATCATGGAATCATTTAGGTTGGAAAGGACCTGTAAGATCATTGAGTACCAACTGTTATTGTCTAGCCACAACAAAAAGTTAACCTGAAAAAGCTTTCTTTCAGATGTTAATGTAAACCTCTGTGTCGGTACTGAACAAAACTGTATCAGGAGCAAAACTTCCACTCAGATATGAATCCCAGTCAGATAACCTCTTTCTTTGGAAGGGTTGTCTTGTCATTTTTTTACTTTCTCTCCTTAGTGAAGGAGCTCAGTGTTCTGTGTGTGATTCAGCTCAGAATGGAAGGAACCTAAATCAGAACCAACATGGGCTCTAGTTTTGAATAGTACAGAAACATCGTTGCCCTTTTCTGGTTATGAGTTGATGTTTGCACAGAATTAACTGTCTGTCTTGAACTGATGGCTGGTGGTGCCAAGTGAGTGTTCTTGGGAACGCTACAAGACGAGCAGTCAGTTCAAAGATAGATTCAGGGAACAGAAAGGGGCATATTCTCTCTCTTTGTCAGAGTGATTCCAGCTTGACCTGCAACAGGGAAGAGTAAAAAAATAAATTTACGTTGCTGCTCATCTCTATTTCTTCTGACTCAAAAATTGAGGATTTAATTCTTGAGTTTACTTCACACCAGCCAAATTAATAGTAGTTAGTTCTTTCCTCTCCACATTTCCTTTCTAAACTCAGACATGTTACTGAGACCTGTGATCCCTTTGCTTATTTACTATTAAGATCATCTATTAAATCTGTCCAGGGCGATGATCTCAGCTGACCTGAACAGAGATGGATACGAAGACCTGGTTGTTGGGGCTCCAGGTCACAGCACGCTGGGCCGCGTTCAGACGGGCCGGGTCTACGTGGTCTATGGCAACCGGTCAGGTCTGCCGCCAGAAGACATGGACCTAGATGGCAAAGCTGATCATGTGCTGCAGGGTCATCAGGTGAGACGGCGAGTCACATATGTGCCACTTAAATTTTTCTGCCTGAAAATGTGGTAAATTTTGACTGCACAACAGTATCGTTAATATGCATGAGGATTGTTCCTGGAATACCTCTTCTGGTAGGAGGATGTCGTATGCTTTTCAAATAAAATTTAAAGCAATGGTGAGCTGTAGGCTTGCTTTTATTGCTGTGACAGACAAGTGGGTGTTAGAACATAATTTACCCTTGAATAAATCCAAGGTAGTGTCTCTAAGCCACAGCACAGCTCATTCAGGTCCCTGCATTTAAGAGAATACTGTGATTTTATCTTCCTTTTTAATATAAAATTATTAATTCAATGTAAGTTTCAATTCCTTTGAAGTTATATTTTTTTTTAATTACTAACTTCTCACAAAACCACTGTTTGTCTTTACATGAGTACACATTATTTAAAAAAAAAGAGAGCGCTACAATTTGACATAATTGGCTTGTAACTGAGAAGCAGGATCAAATCATCTTTTTGACTAATGAAGATGATCCTTTGTAGGAAGTATCTTTCTTCACAAAGAGAACAGAAAGAGATATGTTGCTTTTTAATCTATTTCTGTGGGTAAAAACTGTGCAGTAACAGCCGCTGATTTCTTACAGAGTGTGTTAGTGGTGCACAGCCTCAGTGCTTTGAAAAGGAAAGATCACATGCTTAACGTCGGCGGTGCCCTGGGCTCAGAAGAGGAGAGAGCAAAGGAGTGCTGTATTGTGTTCAGTTATATTTTAACACCTGCGTATCCTCAGAGTGGTTGACTCTGAGTTACTGTGGTAGTGTGACATTTATCTCCTGGGAGAACAGCGATGCTAGGAAAATCTGAAGAATTGTTGGGATGGATTTTTGTCATCTCTGTTTCTAGTTCTTCCCTGTGCTGTGATTGCAAATGTGCATTAGGTTTTGATGGTTTTGTCTTGAAAATGTCTGTTATTCTCATAAGAGCAATCCCTCTTCTTTTTTAGCCCTCAGGAAGGTTTGGTTCTGCCTTGGCAGTCCTGGACTTTAATGAGGATGGCATGCCAGACCTGGCAATCGGAGCGCCTTCTGTGGGGTCTCAGTTCCTGACATACAAGGTTAGCCGTGCACAGGGGTTTGCTGGTTTTTTTTTCCTTGAAACAGAACATTTTGATTGAGACGCATTTTTTTTGGAGCATTGAAATGAGAGAGAATTTCTGTTGTCGCTCAGCATGACACTGTTGTGTAAACACAAAGGTTTATAACCCAGGTGGGTACCAGAACTAGTATAATGGCAGCTCTCTGTATTTCTCTTCCAGCAGCCATTGTGCGCATTAGGAGTCCAAATCAGATTGCACCTTTGTAGCATGGATGTGCTAGAATTGTAAGAAGCCATTCATGAAATACATGAAATTCATGAAATACTTTTTATTTAGGAACAGAGAGACTGGACTGGGCCTCATGGGTCAGTGAGCTTTGTCATCTGCTGTCACTGGCCAACAGATTATACCTAAAGTGCGATATGAGCAGAGACACACTTGCTAAAATAACCAAGTTACAGACTTGCAGTTTACCAGATTAGCCCATGTAACTGACCTTGAGTATGCGAACTGAGAGGCAAAATGTTTTAGTTTAAACCACATCCATTAAACTAAAAACTCTTCAGAACTTCAAATACTAACTCAAGTGCCTAAATAGAGATTTAAATGCTTTTGTATATGCCCACTAGCTTTGAAAACTGCATGCATCTGTTGTGCTTGGCACTGTGTACCGTTGCATTAAATAATAATTAACAGCATTTGAGCCACCTGAATGTGTGTATAACAAATGTAAATATGCAGTATGCTGTCCTTGCTCCTTATCCACAGTATGATGAAAATACATTTCTCTCGTTTGTTTCCTGGTTGTAGCAGCATGGGTGTTCTTGGGTCTGGGATGGAAAAGACGAATTATAAGAAGGATCTGATGGGAAGAATGCTCTTGTATTAATAGCCCTTGCAGAACTGTTTCACTCGTTGTGCTTTGTCTTGTATTTCATAGTTGGTGCTGACATGCAGGTGCTCTCATGCTGTGTTTGCTTTTCCTGCCTTTTAGGGTGCTGTGTATGTCTATTTTGGCATGGAGGGAGGAGGCTTTGCATCTGAACCAAACGTTACCATCACTTGCCAGGTATATTGGTCAGGGTAACACAGGGCTATACAAGCAGGAGATGAAATAAAGGGGAAAGGGGCTTATGGTCCTAAAAAAGAACATTAAAATCAAACCTCTAATTGCAAGGGAGTTTAGACTGATGGGGATGATGCGAGCAGGTGCTTGCCTAGATTGGTTGTATGTGGGAAAGACGTTTGTACTCCAGTGCAGAGGAGGCGGCAGGGTGAATAGAAGGACGCTTAGTCCTCTGAAAAAAAAACTCAAAGAAAATAAAATGGAAGTCTGAGTTGGGAGGGTAATTTCATCAGAAGCAGACAAAGTTAGCTCTTCAGAAGTAAGTTGCTCTATTTTATTACAGAATTGGTGATTTCAGTTCCATTTCAGGCTTAAACTAACTGTTTTTTGCAGTATCCCTACTGTAATCTTGGTTGGTCCCTCCTGGCGGCTGATCTTGATGAGGATGGAAATGCTGATCTGGTTGTGGGCTCTCCCTATGCACCTGGTGGTGGGCAACAGAGAGGATTTGTGGTTGTGTTTTACTCTTATTTCAACAGAAGTGACCAAGGTAATACTGATTCAGTTCATTAACCCTTCCATATTTTATGTGACTGTTCATTTGTTCCTAATTAATCATGGGATAATTTGGGTTTGAAGGGATCTCACGAGGTGTCTACCTACTCTGTAAGGGGACATCTATGAAGTCAGACCAGATGCTCAGGGCTTTATCCAGTCAGGTCTTAAAAACCTCCAGTGACGGAGATTACACAGCCACTTAGGCAGCTGTTCCTCTTCATGGCTGTCCTCAAAGGCAAAAAAAATGTCTTGTTACCACCAGTACAAACCTCTCGTTTCTTTTTATGCTCGTTGTTTGCTGTCTTCCCATCATGCACAGTGAAGTCAGAAGGCCCTGAGTACCCCAGCGTGCTGGGAAGAGCCTGACTCTACCTCCCCCTTAACCTCCTCAGAGGTACTGGCAGGCTGCTATTAGGTCCTCCTGAAACCTTCTCTTCTCCAGGCTGAGTAAGTGCCGGTCCCTCCGTCTACTCCCAGCAAAGTGCTCCGGCCCCCAGCCATCTTGGTGACCCTCTGCTAAATTTGCTTCAGTTTATCAACATCTTTCCTGTTTTGTGGGGTCCACAGCTGAACAATGTGTTTTGGTCTAAGGAGGAGTTAAGGGGGAACAGTCGCTTATGGAGCCCAGTTGTCACGGAGACACACACAAAACCAGACAGGGCAGCTACAAGGTATAAAATATATTCTAACCCGAAAACCACCGTGCAGTCCAACAAAGTGTATTACAGATTCGGATGCAAGTTGGGAATTATCACTATGCAACTGGATTTAGGAATTAGCGACTATTCCTCTAGAAATATGACCAAAATGTGCACACCCTGACTCACTAAAAGGGGGGAAACTTTTACCTTAAGGTTACCCAGCAAATCAATCACCCATGGAGATGGGCAAGGGCTCTCCAGGATACATACAGAAGTCCCGCTCACCAGTAAGGGATAGTGGGTGCTCTCAATCCCAGGAAGTTTCCTTGGACAGCATCCTGATCCGAAGGGAAGGGGGTGTCCCGACTGCAGCCCTGCTGCTCTGAGGAGGACTAACTCCAGTTGGCTCTCCTGCGGGGCCCCATTTGTACCTGAGTCGAGTCTGGGTGTGGGCAATTTCTAATGAGTTAAGGAGCCAGTGCACAAAGACACAGTAAACAGTCATCAGGCCTCAGTGGCTGTCCTTGCCCGGTCCCTGGAGCAGGCCCGTTGTCATGGAGGGGGCAGCTGCCAAACCCATATAGAGCTACATAAAGTTAATAGGGGTTGGGCGGGTTACAGAGGTATTCAGAGCTTTGTCAGAATCACGCAATTGAGATTTCCAATAACACTTAATTTCGGTAGCTTATTCTACTTCATGTAAAATTAGAAACCACAAGCAAAGTAGTTCTTGAAACGCTGCTGACTGACGTTTTTGCAAAACCACAACACAGTGAATTATTTGAATTAAAGCCAGAATTATTTGAAGATTCTCCTCAAAGAATTGCAAGTTCTGATAAATGGTTTCAATGTTGTCCTGTCCCCAAGAAGGAGTCGCTAGCTTAGGACAGGCTTGCCCAATCGCTTTCCTGCGTGGGCTTTGTGTGGGCTAGTGTGAGGATTTAGAAGCAGGCTAGGTTGAGGAGAGGCTTTTCCCCTGCCAGTACAGTCGCAGGCTGGGCAGGCCAAGTCAGCGGTAACTGATGCCGTGTCGTGGGTGATGTGCCTTTGCTTATAGAAACTGATTGTCACAGGATGAATCAGTGGAGGTTTGCTAACAGATTTTCTATGTCAGGGCACACCAAGATTTAATTTGTATTTTTTTGGTCTGTCAGGACTTCTGTCTGTGCAGGATGCCAATTGGATGGTGAAGGGGGAAGAAAACTATGCCTGGTTTGGATTTTCACTCAACAGCTGCCAGCTGGAGAACACAACACTGCTGTTGATCGGTAGCCCTACGTGGAAGAGTTGTGCTGGGTGTGTTCTGTAGGACAGCTTACTCTCTCTTCCATTCTGCCCTACATCTACAGTGCTTAAGATTTGTAATAGATTAGACTTTCAGCTTTTCAGGAAGTTTCTTCTTTGTCCTGCTTAGAATATTTTAATTAAATTGGGGTTTTTATGCCTTCACCCTTCATCATGAAGAGAGAAGGGTCTTTGTTTTAGAGACACTTAAGGTTTTCTTGGGGAGGGGGAGATGGGACACAAAAATGCTGTCAGGTAAGCACCTCTAAAATAATCTGATAGATAGCATGTACTTTTGAGATAGCATTTTTAAAAACAAACCAAACACAAAAATGCATCGGGTGATTAAAAAAAGTAGATGTGAGAGGCCAATAGTCTGGACTCTAAATGTTGTGTAACTAATTAGAACAAACATGGGAATTACTAAAATAGTTTTCTAGAATTTGGCAGCCACTATTATTCCAAACTAAAAGAGGAAAATATTTTAAGATGAGCAATCTTAGCTGAATGTACAAACCAGTGTTGTCACATACTAACATATTTTGCTTTGGAATTTAAGCTGCCACCCCTTCTCCTTGGGAGACAGAGCGAGCGTTGGGAAGGTGTATGGGTACAACCCACCAAGCACAAAGCCATGGTTTGCAGTTGCTGGAGACAAGGTAGGGCTCTTTCTAAGGTATGGGACCTGATGAATAATTTGAAGTAAATTGGCATTCTGTAGAAATGACGTAAGCATTTTGAAAATCTCACAGGCCATGGGCAGGATGGGTTTGTCTCTGGCCAGTGGTGTGATGTCTGTGGCTGGGGTCACCAGGACGGTTGTGGTGGTGGGTGCACCTACTGCAGGTACGTCCTGAAAACTGGAAACCATTTCTGCTCTGAGATGTTTGTTTTTGTATGACCAGAGAATGATACAAAGTTGAAAGTTAGAAAAGGGACATTTGAATAACCACATAATTAAAAAAAATAATTAGAAATAATCACTATGTAAGTCCTCTTAACTGTGCCTCGACTTCAGTGAAGTTTTTTCCTTCCTTAAAATTAGTTTAGCAGCATTACTACCTTGCATTATTTATGTAGCAGTGATTTACTAGTAGACTATATATTTCTTGGAATTAAACCAAATCAGTATGTTGTTTTAACAGCAGGCAGTAAGGAGTTAGGAAAGTCAAAATGTAGAGTTTTTATCTTTCACTTGAATGCATTTTTCTACTGGTGCTATTGCCACAAGATTGTTTCTGTCCTAATTAGTGTTAATGCCATATAGCATTTGATCTTGTTTCATAAATTATGTTACTTTTGGCCATGCTTTGTAATGGCAGCGTGGCCTGCTGTCCACGTATTGCAGGTATTAAACCTGAGTTCCTATGTGTCACACTCAACTTCTGCTACATCTTCTTTTTTGTAGATGGCCTGTCCAGGATTTCATTTATATCGTCAGTGCTGCAGCAGGCTGGGCTGGTGCTGCTTTATGATCTGAGCAACAGCACCAAGCCTTCCTTGCTCAGCACGCTCAGTGGGGACAGGAGGTTTTCTCGCTTTGGAGGAGCTGTGCACTTAAGTGACCTGGATGATGATGGACTAGGTGAAGCTTGAATCTAGATCAGAGGTGAAAAGTTTTACTTTTGGCAGCAGGAAGCCGGTCACCTACATACTCATACAAGTGCTAAATGCAGTCTGCTTCCTCAACTGACTTGTACCAGTATTCCATCGTGCCTTGTGAGGAGGCATCTTTAAAATCCAGAGCAACTCAGTCAGAAATTGAAACGTTTTAGCGTTACTAGGAAATTGTGGCATCTAGAGGCATGTAAATGCCACCTCTCACAGGTTTTGGTTTAGCATTATTTCACTCCTGATGTGTTGTGTCATCCTTGTAATGTTTGCAGATGAAATGATTGTGACATCCCCACTGCGAACTAATGATCAGACCACGATACTGTTTGGCGGAGCAGCTGGCCGCGTTTACATTTACAATGGAAAGCAGGCATCCTCAGGGAACGTGACAGGCCACTGCAAGTCATGGACATCCCCCTGCCCTGAGAACTGGGTAAGAAAACCATAAAATCAGGACATGAGGTCATAATGACAGCTAAGTAATCACATACAGTTAAGATATCTAGTGCGTTCTGACTTTGGTCTGAGAAAACAGAAAGTTTGATTTTGTTTCTGATTCTGTGTGATTTGACTCTTCCTGTTTGTTCTTGAATTACTTTGCTGTTCAGTAGCCAGGGTTATTGCACTGGTCTTCTACTTGCCTAGTGTGGTACTCTTCACTGACTTTCTTTTTCTTTTCTTCAGGCACAGTATGTTCTGATTTCTCCTGAGGTAAGTAACTAGAAAACAAACTATTGAGAGAAACAAAAAAGTCCCGCTTAAAAAAACCTAACAGCATTATAACAAGCAATGTTATTTTTACAGGAACTATCAAGATTTGGGAGCGCTGTTATCACTGTAAAATCTGAAAGAAAGGTGAGAAAAATTGCTGTTGTTTGGTGCTTTGTAATATCTTTGTACCTCGCATATACTAGCTAACACCACATACATCTCTTACTCATTTGCAGAAGTCTTGAGTGCTTTGTGTAGTTAATTAAGTTTTCTGAAGTCATTTTCTGAACCAAAACTTGAATTAAAATCATAAAGCTCTCTGAAATAAAACCATTTTAGAGGTGGATGAGCTATGGAGTTGCCAAAATTTGGGTACCTGAGACCTGAATTGAAAGAAATTGCTTTAAAACAGCCTGAAATCTCAACTACTTAGGTGTTTGCTCAGGTTGCACAGTAAATCCAGTGTTAGTGCCAGCTGCCAGCCTGTGTGCAGGGTGGATGCTCAGCTGTGGAGTAAAGCAGGCACCCAAACCAGGCCTCTCATTTCACGTTTACGGGCTGGCTGTCATAGCTATCCCTCACGCTGAATGCTGTTCGTGTGTCTGTGTTCACAATCATTTATTTAACTGGTTCCAGCTTCTTCCAATTCTCCCAAATGACACAAAGTCTGTTTGCCAAATGGTTTTGTAAATCACTCTTCTGATGAGGGGGATTGCTGTCATTTCTCCTCATCACATTTCTGTATGACACTAACGATAGGGACAGAATCTAGTGTCTGTTAGGAAGCTGAAGGCTTGAACCCAACCTGGAGTTATGTTTTGGTAACCCTTGCTCTGTTTCTCTGTAGAAAGAAGTTGTAGTGGCAGCAGAGAGAAGTTCGGCGAAGGCTCGGCTTGGCGGAAGGCTTTTTGTCTACTCACTCTGAAGGTTCATGGTAGCCTTTAAGACCAGGGCACAGCTGGTCTTTTAGTGAAGAATCTCTGTAGTATCTGTGATACTTCCCTTAACCCATACAAACCAACAGGCTGCGTGACAGCGAACCTCTGACACCTGCACATCCCAGACAGCTCCATAGGGTCCTAGGTGGCGATAAGGGAGGATGGGATAGTCACTGTTGCTGTCAAAATAATACGCATGGAGGAGCAGCTCTAAGCCAGACAGAAAGGTGGGCACTGACTAAGGGACCTGCCTCTGTCTTGCAAGTCTCAAGCTGTAAGCCAGCCAGGGTGTAGGGCAGCCGGGAGCTCCCAGAGAGGAAAGCCCAAGCAGGGCTTATTAAGTTGTAGGAAGCGCTTTTGCTTTCACAATTGTGACCGAGTACTCCAACACCCTTTCTTTGTGTTTTCACGTAAAATCTCATGACCATGGTAATTTAGAACTCTTAACGGCTTTTATTGTTAACAGTATTGACTTCTTCAGCTAATTAATACTGATGTTGTACAATGCAGGTTTAACAGTGTGCACCAATTATCTATTAAACAACTTGAGCAGCAAGATGTGATGCTATTACACGTGTCTATGGACTAGTGTTGGTATTTTCTCTCTCTTGCCTCCTTCACAACATAAAACATTCTTTTTATTTGAAATAACACGAGTCAGTGGGAATAGCACAGAATTCTGAAGATGACACACCTCAACTTACCTTCGGAGGAGCTATCTCTCTCACAGAAGTTGTTTAAAAATAAAGAAGGGCAAGGTGATCATTAGCTTGAAGTATAATGCATTTTGACACCTATCTGGGAGATTTTACTTGCCCAAATAGCAGAACACTTAAAAAAAGTTCAACATCTGAACTCTATGAAAAAGAAATAACAGGGTAGAACTGAAAGTACATTACAAATCAGTGAACTGTGGTGTGAGGCAAAGCAAGCAGTTTATTTATAAGGGCAGAATATAAAGAATTTTCCTTTTTAAATGAAAATGGATGAAACCAGTATGTTTTGTAGTAATTCCATTCTGAACATACAGCCTCTGCTGGCTTTGCTTTTCTCTTGTGTACAACTTCAGAGTAATTTTATTGCCCAGGAATGCATTTTTGTTACTTGAATTACAAGAAAATCATTAAACATTTCCATATGTTCGTAGAGAGAAAGGCAATCTTGTAAAAGACATGTTTTTCTCACAGTGCTTTTATTGTGCTTTAAGTCAGCTATGTACAGGAGAAGGAGGCAATACAGTTCACAGAAGTCTCTGCACAAAAGACAGAGCTTGGAAAACTTACGTGATAGCTTCTCCAGCTGCTGCACTAAGGCATTTCAGTCCTGGCCTAATGCGACTACAGCTTGGTTGAAAATATCAGCATCCATATCCCTTCTCGCACTGGGCTTTCCTGGGATTTCTCAGCCAAGGTATGTGAGACTTTGTTTTTTCCTCTGGATTGCTCCGAGGGTTTTTTTACATTTCTACCTGCTAAGCAAAAAGGCTGCAAAAAAAATGAGCTAAAACCCTCAAACCCATTACAAACCTCATTAATTTTCTCACCTTTTCATACCTTTTGTACCTGTAGCTGAAGTCACATACAGAGCAACTGTTTGCAAGTAATTGCATACAAGTGATTTTAACCAGAGTCACAGGGCTGCACCATTTAATGTACCTTTTTATTTCCATTTTTGACTCATTAGTCTCGAGTAAGAATATTCACAGCTACAGTTACCGTCTTTTCAACCCTTGCCAGTACAGGTGACACCTAAGGAGCTACTCACTGTATGCTAGAGAAGTTCAAAATCCCCAAACAAGACACAGACAGTTTGTGACCTGGTTTTGAATGAGAAGGATTTCATGCTCCCTCTACAAACTTAAGAGAAACCAGGGGAAAGAACTACACCCTCAAGGTTCAGACAGAAGTCTTAAGGAAAAGCTACAAATAGTGGGCACAAAAATTTTACTCCTTCCTTCAGCCCTTCTCAGGACACCAGGCTTCCACAGCCTTTACTAACCTGGCTACTTCCTGTGGCACAGGCTAGTCTGTGCTTTGCCTTGTCTTTTTGGAGAGGAAAGAGAGAAAGCAGAGCTCAGCTTCAGAGAAACCAACTGCTCTGTTCGTTTTTACCAGTGTGTGAATCGCTCCGTACAACATGAGGAGTGGTTAAACTGTGGCTCTATCAGTCGAAATAGTGGCCGGTGGCAAACACAAGTGTGCATTGTCAATCGTCCCACGCTCCCTGTTACTAAAATGGCATGTTTTGTGCCCAAATTAATTGTTAAGGAATACCCAAGATAAGTAGCTGCATTTCAAAGCCTGTTATTGCTCACTTAAGGGTAACTGTTACTTCTGGTTACTACCAGTTTAGAGGTGATGCTTCAATAGAGATGCAGGTGTGCTTTCTGCTTTGGAAAATCTGTTCTCTGCCTTCAAATAGGGCCTTAAAAAATAGGTCACTTTAGGGGTGAATTTTTCTTTAGCATTTGAAGTCAGATTCCTGATTCTGTGGCTCAGAACCAGAATCATTGATAAATGCTGACTGCTGTCATCCTGTAAGCTGAAAACATTGTCCTCTTTAAAAAAGGCCAGTATGTGAGTAAGTATTTGACAGAAACACCAATGTCAATGCCAATGTCGTAAAAATAAGTACGGGTCTGTGACAGAATACTAATGGAACACATGTTGGGTAGAGATGAGACTGCTGTGGAAAGCACATCATTGTTTTCCCTTGTTGCGTCTCTCCTTCTGTGTGTGACCATTAAAATCTCACCATAGGTTTTTGGCACAAAATAAATTAGCAAGTTTAGAAATTCCTGTGGTTTTCAGTAAGGAAGAACAAATGCAAGGAAGGTGTCCAAAGTCCACCTTGTAACAATGAAAGTCTCTTCACTATTGGTTTGTTAGTGTGCTTCTGCTCAGTCCAAATGCCTCTGCTTTAAGGTTGTTCTTCATCTCCACTCTTCCAGCTGCTGGCTGGGATTTTTTCAAAACTGCAGGGACCTAGGCAAAGTACAAAATAACCTGTGATTACAGGAGAAGCTGCTCTATATGCAGCAGAAGGAAATAAAGCTTTGCAGAGGCCTGAACCAACTCTTCTCCTCGCATTTTCACAACACTGCCTCTGGCTTCTCCCTCCTTAATCCCTTTCAGTACATTTCTCCAAGCCAGAGTCAGTATGTGCTGGACTTGGTCTTGAGCAATACTTGAGGGTAATTCAGGTAGTTGTATCTATAGTCAACAACAAACTACTTCCATCTGCCTCTTATTGGCAAGGGAGGGGAGGGAAAAAAAGGGAGTTTATCTGCATTTCCCTTTCTTTCATCACTTGTAACAATTTAAAATTTGAATCCGTTGATACTTCTCTGTTATAAATCTTAGAGTGACTAACAGAGGTGGCCAATATGGTCCCAAAAGCTTGGGCAGGAAAGAGCAGTCAAGAGAAAAAATGACCCATGTAAAATTGTGCCAAGCTGAAAACAGTCATACACATACGTGAGGAGGTAGTGGAGGTTCTAGGTGCCGCCCAAGGAAGGAGAGCAAGCGTCGCCATATCAGACCACTTCCCAGAAACATAATGCCCGTCACCAGCCAAAATATTTTGGGGTCCTGCTGACAGAACGTTCCCATTAGTTACGCAATTCTCTCTTCAGAAAAGGGATCAACCAAAGCTCATCTCTCACTCCCCACCCATGTTCTCCTTTCTTCTCCTTCATGGGAGGAAGTGGTAAACTCTGTACCATCGACAGCCAAGCCCTACCTTGGGAAAACGGCTGTTTCACAGCAAAGCATTGCATTTAGGAATCACCCTAGTGATTGTTTTCCCATGCAGTTTTCCTTATTTCATTGGAGAGTTAAGAAATTCAACCCTTCTATTTAATGGATTTGAAAAGGAAGAAGTCTTTGGTTTGGTTTGTGGGGGTTTTTTGGGTCTGTTTTAAGGATAGCATGTATGACTGTATATTTGTATACACACACCCCTACCCACCCTAATTAACAGTAGAATATCTCCTGTGGTGTGCTGGCTGCTTGCCAGTTACCCTTGGGTCTGGAAAATTAAGCTAGTCCTTTCAGAAGAATAGATGATCATTAAAGAAACCTTAATGCTGGTTTATAGTCAGTCCTTATACAACCATAAATTTGTCTTCCCATTTCTTTTCCACGGATATTACGTATAAAAAAGGCTGCACTGTGGTGCAGTTAGCCATATAGTAATTTGCTTACAAAAAGTGACTGCCTGGACGCATGAATCCCTGGACTAAATTATGTTCATACACTAAGATAAATCTGGAGCTTTACCTATGGAAAGAAAAAAACTTGTACTGAGTATTATAAAATGCACTGTAGAGTAAGGCCATGTTTTCTGCCACTGATAAAAGCAGCGCTTGTTCCTTACCTCTTCAAGAGATGACTCCAAGTTCATACCAAATGCAACTCCTATGAGTCCAAAGAGAGACAGAGAGAAAGTCCCCATAGTCAACTGCAAGTTTAGTCTCATCATCACGTTACGGTGGCTAAAGAAGGGAGAAACATCTGTAAGGGGAACCCAGAAATTGATTTGCTGCCTAAATTCTCAAATTCCATGCAGCATACACTAAAACCAAATAATGAAAGAGAGGAAGCTGTGCTGGAATTAGGCAGCCCAGTGACAAAGCTCATGAAACACCAGCAGAAAAAGACTGCTGCTTTGGCATTGCTGCAGCAGGACACCTCTAAGGCAGCAGGTTCTGCTTAACCATCAGCAGAATTCCCAGCAGTGATCGCTTCTTAGAGGTGTATATACAGACTAACAGTAAACTTTCACAGAAATTTGTGTTCTCTCACCACTAACTGGCTGGAATGTATGTCTATTCACAGGAAACAAAAATTTACTGTTATGCTGCAAATGAATATACTTGCCAAGAAGCAGAGTTATTAAATGCTGCAGACTATAAACCTGAGCCTGTTCTGAAGAATTCCACATTCAAGTCTTGCCCAGAATGATTTTTACTGTTTCCTGATGCAGC